TATGAAGAAGGGCATTGCAGAATTTGTTGCTAAGTATCCAAATTGCAAACAAGTTAAAGTAGAGCACCAAAGTCCCAGTGGGTTGGCTCAGAATATAGAACTTTCGGAATGGAAGTGGGAGATGATCAATATGGATTTCATCACAGACTTGCCAAGGTCTCACAGACAACATGATTTTATTTGGGTGATTGTCGACAGGATGACGAAATTAGCCACTTTTTACCGGTAAAGACTACCAACTCCGCATAAGATTATGCTAAGCTTTATATTCAAGAAGTGGTAAGACTTCATGGGGTTCCAGTTTCCATTATTTCAGATAGAGGTGCACAATTTACTGCACAATTCTGGAAATCTTTTCAGAAAGGTTTGGGTTCAAGGGTGAACTTTAGTACTGCCTTTCATCCTCAGAAAGATGGGCAAGCAGAGCGTACTATTTAGACGTTAGAATATATGTTGAGGGCATGTGTGATTGATTTCAAAAGTAATTGGGATGATCACCTACCTTTAATTGAGTTTGCTTACCACAACAGTTATCACTCTAGCATCCAAATGGCTCCATATGAAGCTCTTTATGGGAGAAGATGCAGATCTCATATTGGATGGTAAAAAGTCGATGAAGCAGGGTTGATAGGACCAGATTTGGTTCACCAATCTATGGAAAAGGTGAATGTGATTCAAGAGAGGCTGAAAACGGCACAGAGTCGTCAAAAATCCTACACAGATATTAGGAGAAGGCCATAAGAGTTTGAAGTAGATGATTGGGTGTATCTGAAGGTTTCACCCATGAAGGGTGTTATGAGGTTTGGTAAGAAGGGGAAACTTAGTCCCCGGTATATTGGACCTTATAGCAGAGTCAAAAGGATAGGCAATGTAGCATATGATTTGGAGCTACCACAAGAGTTAGCAGCGGTGCATCCGGTATTCCACATCACCATGTTGAAGAATTGCATGGGAGATCTTTCATTGATAATGCAAACTGAAAATGTTGCGATTAAGGATAACTTATCTTATGAGGAGATTCCGGTTCAGATTTTAGATCGCCAAGTTCGCAAGTTAAGGACAAAAGAAGTTGCATCAGTCAAAGTCCTTTGGAGGAACCAATTTGTTGAAGAAGCTACATGGGAAGCTGAAGAGGATATGTAGAAGAGATATCCACATCTCTTTGAATCCGGAGGGAATGCAGATCAAGGTACTAATTCTCTTATTAGTACTATTTGAATTATGAATGAGCATGTTGATTGTATCATTTACTTGTTGGGTGCTTGAACTAGATGTTACCACCCTTAGCTTAGTAAAATAAAGCTCATTCGAGGACGAATGTTCCCAAGAGGGAGATATTGTAACATCTCGCACCTAGAAACGACTATAAAGAGTTTAAAATATGAAAATATTGAATTTTGGAAAGAATAAGGAAATCTGGAAATTTTGTCTAAAGTTAAGAAGATGAGTTTTGGCCATTTTCAAACGGCCATAACTCCTAGCTTAGAATTAGTTAGGAGCAGCTCTTGATATGGTTGGAAATCCCTTGGAGAGTCTTTCCAACGCCACCAAGTTTGCGCGATTCCGAGTTTGGATGAATGAGTTAGGCCCTTTGGAAGTTGGGCTGTTGGTTTAAGGAAAGTCCAAATCCGGATTTTTGAAGGGTAGTTTGGTCCTTTCATTACCCTTTTATTTTAATTCGTTTTAGTGAATTAATTAAGGGTGTAAACTGAACTTGGTCAGTTTTACACTTTTGGAAAAGAGTTAGGGTTTTAGAGAAGGGGAGAAAAAAGAAGGAGAAGCAAGGAAATCGTCAAGATCGTCGAGTTTGCGTTGTAGATTTCATCGGGGGTTATCCCTACAAGGTATGTGAGATCACATAGCGTTGGGTTAGTTCACCCACGCGCTAAGCATTTGTAATTCAGCGTGTTTTCGTCCTAAGATGATTGAGAAATTGATGTTCTTGAATTGATTTCATTCTTGAATATGAGTTGGGATTTAGGAGTTTCTTGATGATTAACTTTTGTTTCCCTGAGTTGTTTGAGTTAGATTTTCTGTATATGATTTGGGTACATGAATCTAAAGTGAATTTGGGAAAAAGAATCGGATAAAAATGATTTAGGGTCAGAAAACGCAATAAGAAGTTCGTCTGAGTTTTTCCTGAAAAGAGGCTGGCACGACGCGCCCCCATAGGCCAAGAAGGCTGGGGCAGCGCGCCAGCAGTACGCCAGAAATGAGCCCCAGTAAAATGGGGCCTGGCGCGTCGCGCTAGGGACGCGCCCGGATCGGCGATTTTCACCAGTTTTCGCCGTTTATCCCATTTAAGATATTCTAAAGTGTCCTAACACTTTCCATTGATTCTAACTACTCTAAATGACTTCTAAACATCTAGAAATCATCCCTAAACATAAGATCATAAACCTTCAATCCATAATCCAATTCAAAGAAATTTAAGATCAAAGTCAAAGATGTTAAGAGTCAAGTCTAGAAGTTAAGAAGCAAGTCAAAGAAAAGCTTCTTAAAGTTTTCAAGAGTCTTTAATAAAGGTTTTAACTTCGTTTTAAGGCTCAAGTTTTCAAGTTAAGCAAAGAGTAAAGAGTTGACTGCATTTCTCAAAAAGCTGTAAGGGAACAAAGTATTCCCAAAGAGTTTATAAATGTTTTCACATTTGAGCAAGAAAAGAGAACACCGATTCCAAGAGAGCTTTTATACTAAGTTTTGAGTAATTATCTCAAACCAAAGAAAGAAGTTTGTTTTTAAAACATATGAGCTAAGTATATTTTTGGGAGTAGTATTGAGCACCGATATGGGGATGCGAGTTCATATTAACTCAAGTCTCCATAAACCATGTAGTCATCATGGGTAGTAAAGGATCCTACTTTTTAGATGACTCCTTAAGATGCTTTTAGCATAGACTAGTGGATCCACTAAGTTAAGCGTTCTATATGACGACAAAGTCTAGGCCAGTTCTGGCAGCGTGGGCAAGTCGTTGTATCACCACTTAGGCTCATAGTGGTGGTTGTCGGTTAGAGAATCTCCCACAAAAGTTATATTACCTTTATATGTAAGTAAAGTTGAGTTTGTTATTGCCTTATCTTTAACGAACTAAGTTGTTTACACTGTTTTACAAGCTTCATATATATATTGCATGCGTCTTATTGCTTTATATTTAGTTCAGTTATTCATGAGTTGTACAGAGCCAAGGTAAGTGTTCCTTCTTACTCTTTTCAGGCTTAGGTTGTTGTTTAGCATTCCAACTCGCATACTCGTACATTCAATGTACTGATGCCAATTGGTCTGCATCATCTTATGATACAAACCCAGGTAACCAGGATCAGCATCCAGCGCGCCATTGATCTAGTCGAGCACTCCAAAGTCAGTGGTGAGCCTCCTTGCATTCCGGAGGACTCTTTTATTTGCTTTTAGTTATTCATTATTAGGATGTTGTGGGGTCTGTCCCAACATCCATCTCAGTATTATAGAGGCTTCATAGACAGTCAGACAGTTAGTTATGAGTCTCTCATCTTTGTTTTGCAGATATTTTGCTATGAGACCTAAGTTGCCAATTTGGCTAAGATGTTATTTCCTTAAACTTATTTTGTTGATTAAGTCTTCCGCTGAGTTCAAAAAGCCAGGCCAAGGGTTCGCTTGGGGCCAGCAATGGTCTTCGAGTGCCAGTCCCACCCAGGGTGTAGACTCGGGGCGTGACTGAAGGTTTGTGAGGACCTAGAGAACTTCATTGATGAGGTTAAGAAAATACTTGGGGTAATGAAATCGACTTGAACTGAGAATGTTGAGTTTGCATCCTACCAACTTAAGGATATGGCTCATATCTGGTTCACTCAGTGGAAAGAAAATAGGGGTGTAAATGCAACTCCTATGACTTGGGATTATTTTATTGGAGCTTTTCCGGACAGGTTCTTCCTAACAGAATTGAGAGAATCTAAGGCACAAGACTTTATGAACTTAAAGCAGGGTTTTATGTCGGTCCAAGAGTACGAACTAAAGTTCACCCAGCTCTCCAAGTATGCTCCACACATGGTTGTGGATCCAAGGCCACAAATGAGTAAGTTTTTTTGGGGGTATCCGATCTGGTGAAGACTGAGTGCAGGAATGCTATGCTTATAGGGGATATCGATATCTCTAGACTAATGACTCATGCTCAGAAGGTTGAGGGAGATAAGCTTAGGGAATTTTCTAAGGATAATTAAAGGGCCAGAGTAGGGAACTATGAATGCTCACAACAGAAGTCGGATGGTGGGAACCACTCACAATTTCAGCAGAGGTCTACCGCCCCAACATTTCATAAGCTAGTGCTCCATCCCCTAGGTTTTGAAAGAATCAGAAAGGTAGGGCATCAAGCTCTAAGTCTTAAGGGAGTGCTTTAAGTAACATGACTTATACAACTTGTCCAAAGTGTGGTAAGAACCATCCGGGCAAGTGTCTTGCAGGAAAGGAAGGGTGCTTTGGGTGTGGTCAGTCTGACCATAAGTTGAAGCATTGCCCTTCTTCCAGGCAGAGGAAAGGGGGTAAGAACAATAGGTCTCAGTCTATTGCTCCAACAGCACTAAAAGGTCAGCCAACTCAATATGTTGCTTCTTCTGGTACAGGTGGGGGTCAGTGCCAGAACAGGTTGTTTGCTCACCAGGACCAGGCAGATTCTCCTGATTTGGTCACTGGTACGTTACGAATCTTTCATTTAGATGTTTAGGCATTGTTAGATCCAGGGGTTACATCATTTTTTGTAACTCCTTATATAGTAGTAAACTTCGTCGTCAGTCCATAAACTCTCTTAAAACCCTTATTACTCTCTACTCCAGTTGGTGACACAGTTATAGCTAGACGGATATATAAAAATTGCCCTATCAGAGTCTCTCAGAGAGTCACCTCAGCAGATCTTGTAGAGTTAGAAATGGTAGATTTTGGTATCATTCTTGGCATGGATTAGTTACATTCCTGTTATGCCTCTGTCGACTAGAGAACTAGAATCGTTCAGTTTCAGTTTCCAAATGAGCCAGTAATAGAATGGAAGGGTAGTAGCTCATTGCTTATGGGTCAATTCATCTCTTACCTTAAGGCCAGAAAGATGATTTCCAAAGGGTATATTTATCATCTTGTTCGAGTTAAGGATTCAAAGTCCGAAGCCCCAACTCTTTAGTCAGTCCTAGTAGTAAATGAGTTTCAAGAAGTGTTTCCAAAAGACCTTCCCGAAGTGCTTCCCGAAACGGAAATCGACTTCAGAATAGATCTCCTCCCCGATGTCGAGCCTATTTCAATTCCTCCTTACAGAATGTCCCCAACCGAGCTTAAGGAATTGAAATATAAGTTGATAGACCTTCTAGATAAGGGCTTCATCGGACCCAGTATCTCTCCATAGGGTGATCTAGTGTTGTTCATGAAAAATAAAGATGGGTCTCTCAGAATGTGCATTGACTATCTGCAGTTGAACAAAGTCACTATCAAGTATAAGTATCCCATCTCCAGGATTGATGACTTGTTCGACCAACTTGAGGGTGCTAGTTACTTTCCAAGATAGAACTCAGATCCGGCTATCATTAGCTCAGAGTTAAAGATAGTGACATTCCAAAGACAACATTCATAACTCGGTATGGTCACTTTGAATTTGTAGTGATGTCTTTTGGACTAAGAAATTCTCCTGCAGCTTTCATGGATTTAATGAACATAGTGTTCAAACAGTATTTGGATTTGTTTGTCAATGCCTTTATTGATGATATCCTCATTTATTTTCGGAATGAGAAAGAGCATGCGACTCATCTGAGAGTTGTTCTGCAAACTCTCAAAGATCGCCAGCTATTCGCTAAGTTTAGCAAATATGAATTTTGGTTAAAGTCTATCTCTTTCCTTGGTTATGTTGTATCTAGAGAATGGATCCGAGTGGATTCTCAGAAAATTGAGGCAGTAAAGCGGCCCAGATCCACCCCAATAAATATTAGAAGTTTCTTGGGTTTGGCCGGGTATTATAGCAGATTTGTTAAAGGATTTTCATTCATAGCTTCCCCATTGACCAAGTTGACTAAAAAAAGGTCAAATTTTAGTGGTCAGATGAGTGTGAGAAAAATCTTCTCAAAACTGAAGACTAGGTTGACTACAGCTCCGGTCTTGACTCTACCTAATGGTTCAGACGGTTATGTGATTTATTGTGATGCATCCAGGGTCGGCCTAGGCTTTGTGTTGATGTAACGAGGTAAGGTCATAGCTTATGCTTCTAGACAACTTAAGGTTCAGGAGAAGAGATACCAGACTCATGACCTCGAGCTTGCAGTTGTAGTATTTTCCCTAAAGATTTGGAGACACCACGTGTATGGCGTTCATGTTGATGTATTCACATATCATAAAAGCCTCCAGTATGTGTTCACCCAGAAAGAGTTGAATCTTTATCAGAGGAGACAACTTGAATTCCTCAAGGACTATGACATGAATGTGCTTTACCATCCTGGTAAGGCCAATGTAGTGACTGATGCACTCATCAAGCTGTCTATGAGTAGTGTAGCACATTTTGAGGAAGAAAAGAAAGAGTTAGCAAAAGATGTTCATCGGCTTGCTCGCATAGGAGTTTGTCTTACGGACACCTCAAATAGTGGGGTGACAGTTCATAATGGATCAGAGTCTTCATTGGTAGTGGAGGTTAAGGAAAAATAGGATAGTGATCCTATATTATTTCAGTTGAAGGGTACAATTCATCAGCAGAAAGTTCAGGTTTTCTCCCAAGAGGGAGATGGTGTGCTTCGTTACCAGGGTGGGTTGTGTGTTCCTAATGTGGGTGAGTTTAGGCAGCAGATACATACAGAGGCTCATAACTATAGGTATTCCGTTCATCAAGGTTCCACTAAGATGTACTATGATCTACGAGAAGTCTTTTGGTGGAACGGCATGAAGAGGGACATAGCATATTTTGTAGCTAAGTGTCCTAATTGTCAATAACTTAAGGTAGAACATCAGAAACCATGAGGTATGACTAAAGAGATTAACATTCCTACATGGAAGTAGGAAGTGATAAAGATGGACTTCATTATGGGTTTACCTCGTACTCACAGACATCATGACTCCATTTGAGTGATAGTGGACAGAGTTACTAAGTCCGCTCACTTCTTAGCTGTCAAGATTACAGATTCAATAGAGGACTACGCCAAACTCTACATTAATGAGATAGTTAGGTTGCATGGGGTTTCCTAGTCTATCATCTCAGATAGAGGTCCCCAGTTTACCTCTCATTTCTGGAAATCATTTTAGAAAGGTTTTGGTACTAAATTAAATCTCAGCATAACATTTCATCCACAGACGGATGGTCAGATAGAGCGTACCATTTAGACATTAGAGGACATGTTGAGAGTTGTGTGATCAATTTCAAGGGAAGGTGGTATGATCACCTTCTCTCATAGAGTTTGCGTACAACAATAGTTTCCATTCAAGTATTTAGGTGGTCCCGTATGAGGCATTATATGGGCGTAGATGCAGGTCCCTGATTGGTTGGTTTGAAGTAGGTGAAGAAACCTTGATAGGGCCATATTCGGTTCATGAGGCTATGAAAGAAGTTTAGCTCATTAGAGATAGACTAAAGACAACCTAGAGTAGTTAGAAATCCTATGTAGATGTGAGGAGAAGGGACTTAGAGTTTGAAATCAATGATTGGGTTTTCTTGAAAGTCACCTATGAAGGGGGTGATGAGATTCTGCAAGAAAGGAAAGCTTAATCCCAGATATATAGGTCCGTACAGAATCTTGAAAAGAGTTGGTAATGTGTCTTATGAGTTAGAGTTGCCAACAAAATTAGCAGCGGTTCATCCAATCTTTCACATTTCCTTGTTGAAAAATTGTGTGGGTGATCCAACATCGATAGTACCATTACAAAGTGGTTGTGAAGGATAGTCTCACTTATGAAGAGGTGCTAGTAGATATCCTTGACCATCAGGTTGGTAGGTTGAGAAATAAAGAAGTCGCTTTAGTGAAAGTTTTAGTCCGCAGAGGGAGCTACTTGGGAAGCAGGAGCCATGAAGGCCAAGTATCCTCATCTCTTTCCTTCTGATTCTATTTCAGCTTGAGGTAATAGTTCCTCTCCAGTCTCTGAGTTTAATGTTGCATAAATTCAGTCTTAGTATCATGGTCCTTCAGTCATTCTTACATTTCAGCGTATTTGCATGTTCTTAGAACTCAGTTTAGTTAGATATAAGTTTCTAGTACTTTGTGGTAGGAATTACAGCTGATTACCTCCACACTCAACTAGTTTAGACTTCATTTGAGGACAAATGTTCCCAAGGGGGAGATAATGTAACACCCCAGATTCGAGAAAGAGCCATTACAGATTTTCAAAACATGCAGGTGCCACATATAGAGGCCAAACCATGGCTCGTGGTTTCGACCACAAACTGTAGGTACGGTTCGTGGTTGGCCATCCAGAACCCCAGGACAAAACATGACACACGGCTGGACCTACAGAACATAGGTGGGACCACATTCTATGGTCCAGGGTCCAGGATCGTGACCACCTAACCTAGCCTCAGACGCCAAATGACGCCATGCCACGACGAACAATCGGTCAGGGGCCGTCGATGGCCTTGTTAACTATTAAGTCAGGGTCATTTTTGTCTTTCTCGAATGCTTTGTACATTTAAACTACGTCGTTTAATACATAAAATACGTCATTTTACTCAGTTTAAGCCTAATAATTTAGCCAGAACCTACCTAAAACCTTTATTCACCAAAACAATCATCGAAATTAGAGCAAAAAAGAAGAGGAAAGTCGACCAGCCTCTCAAGAACGAGCAGAAGGTTCTCATTAGGTTCCATCCCCAAAATTGAAGGATTTATCTGTAGATTTCATCACTGTGTATGTGGGATTTCACTAGTAGATTCCTTCATCTACTAGGTCCCTAGAATTCTGTTAGTTCTTCAAATTCTCTTAGACTGTTGAAACCTAAGGTTTCTAGATTTTCAAGATTTATTGTGAATATGGTTCCCTTGATCTAAATAACTTGTTTGTTGATAATGTTAGTATAATTCCCTGCATAGTACTGAGAACCCTAGTTTGTGTAGATTCTCTTAGTTAATGAATTGCACTTGCTAGGTCAGTTAAACAGATAATCATGCTTTAGTTTTCTAATGTCACATTATCAGTATATAAATGTTGCATTCTCAGTTAGCATGTCAGTATTTTGAGCTATTCTGCATTTCAGTTACATTAAAATTGTATACATATTCAGTTGGAAGTAGACTCAGCACCGAGTTTGACTAGGGTTCATCGTACCCTCACAGTCCTAGAACTACGTGCCCCCATATGAGTATAAGTCCCCTATGTGGGCATCAATTTTAGTGATCACGCCAGTCATGCCTTTATACCCCTGGCAAGGTATATTGTGTCCTCTTGATGGGGAGTATACATTAGACTCCACGTTTAGATCATGTGGTTTTATGTCGGTTAAAAGTAGCTCCCACAATCAGACTCTTAGTGCATTTCTCCATGTTTTCAAAATATACTTCAATATTTAGTTTAGCATGTCATGTTCATGATTAGTACTTGGTGATTCCATTCAGTTTAGCTTTTCAGTTATCTTTTCAGTATGTACATTCTTGCTCAGTTTAAAGTATTGCTCAATCATGCTTTGTTGAGTGTATATATATTTTTCCAACTTAGTATCTATATCTTGCATGCTCAGTACATTCAA